AAGCAGTGGAAGGCCGTTTCGTCCTATTGTGGGACTCCTCAGCAGTGCGCATCCACGATATATATATATATATATATATATATATATATATATGTGTAGCTTAAAGTTCATTTGAGAAATGTTAGTGGTTCAATTATTATCGTGAAGTGAGAACATATACACGTACATACATATTTTTTCAAGCCAAGCATTGTTTAATAGATATACATTACTTCTGAAGTATTTTCGTCTATACAGATCATAATAATATCCTCTGAATTTTAACAATTGAATCTGTGAATCATACTTAACTACACCACTATTAGAAACCCGGAAGTATTGAACGGCATTCTTGTCCTAGTGTGAAACATTTCAGAAATGCTCATCTATGGATGTGTGGCAAGCCCATTTGGATACTGTATCATTTATCTAGTCATTGTAACTCAGACTCAATTCACTGTTAATTTCGGTGTGTATGATCGAAATTGCGCCACCGTACACCATTGTCTTCAGTGAGTTGATATCTATCTCACAACAGACCTAGTTGAACTCCACTGCTAACGGCAATCAATACATATCACATGCTTAATAATGTAATTTTGAAGAAAGTGTTTATTGTCGTATATGTGAATAGTTTTCAGAAGGGGCTGTCATCTATTGGGAAGCCGTTGAAACTTGAGTATCACTGGTTTTGTCCTGATTTTCTTATGAAAATCTAAGCACCAATCATAATGGATGAAAAGATTACTCAACAGTAATTCATCAAAGTCAATAACTCCAGCGAATCCAGTTCAAACCAATGGCTCGAATCGCTTACAAAAATATCTCAATACATGAAGACCACAAGTTCCCTTTCACTTTGTGATTGATGGACGTGTTAGATAGTGTCAAACGAGCACAAACTAGGTAATGAATGTTTCATTTTCATTCTATTTTATTTAAGCGCATCAAATAAATATGCGTCACATAAATCATTAGATTTATATGAGTGCTGGGAAACTGCCTGAGTGCACAAACCGAAGCAGGTGATTTTCTAAAGGGGCCACACACGGAGACTTCAACTTAAATGTCTAATCCTCAAATCAATGCAACGACGTCAGGAGATACAATCCCATGGTAGACAATGACCAACGATTAGTTCATATGGTATTTGTTCCTTCAGGATTATGGAGCCCATGTGCACGATTGGTTTGGAATTAGGGTTTTCCAACTCCCCTAGATGGATCCTTCATGCTGAGGAGTTTCATACTATGACGAAACAACCATCCAGTCATTCTACGTTTTCTATGATGGTCTTGATTTAATTGACTTATGAATTTCACTATCGAATTATTATAATATTCACAAAACCTCTCTCTCATTGTAATCATCATATGCTAACTAGTGATTGGCTTCAAGAATTATTTCCTGGAGTTCTAGTGAGAAACAGTGAGCAGCGGAGTTCAACCGGATCTGTTGTGAGATAGTAACTTAGTGTGGAACCACAATACATGTCAAACTCCATAACGAGAAAAGAATTAGTAATCTATATCATATTGCCTAGATATTGACCATTCATTCAGATATGCTATATCATGTAAAGCAAGAGTTGACCGATCAAGATGAGATATGTTCGATTTAAACATTGAGATTTCCAGGATAAACTTAATCTTCATTAGTATAAATGCTTCACTTATTACTTATCATTTTGAAAATCTTCCGTTTTCATATTATTTAAACATTTCACCTTCAAACTTCACTATTCTCCTTTAAACTCTATTCTGTTGAGCTGGTTTTCCAATGTGGGATAACAGATCTTGGATTTTGACGCAAAATTCATTCATCCATTTGGATAAACTGAGTTTTGACATTTTAACGGATATCCGTTCGTGATGAGAAGCCCATAAATCTATATCCTTGCCTTAATCATCAACTGCAAAATCATAATTCCATTTCGTCACACACTGGTTTATAATGCTCATTTGATCCTAGTTATTAGGTGGACACATTCAAGGTCACTTTAATGTCGCTTAAATTATAGTTTCACGAATGTTTCATTCCTTTCCTGTTTAAGATGTGGATGAAGATCGTTTACTATGAACGATGTTGCCTTGAGATGATCTTGAATCATTGAATGATAGAATTTGAAAACTGCTATCGGTGATTTATATTTTCGAAATTAAGTGATAAGATTTATGTCACTATGCTGAAACATCTTTATCTATACGCTAAATGGTCTACACTTACACACACACACACACACACTCACACACCATTTACCTAAGTAAACACATAACACCGCGAAACCCACTTACTTATCAAATAAACGGTGCTTGGATCTTTAATCTCTAGAATCTTAATTTTTCATTCTAAAAATTAGAAAACAGGCAATTTCGAGAGATTTATTTAATTATCTGATGACCTGGTAAATTCGAGAGTAAGGAGAGTCAGCTCTCCCTCCCAAAATGCTCTCACATGGTCACGTGCATACAACCACTGCCACGGAAGTCCTACTCACTGCCTTCTCGAAGTGGCGGTGTTGTTTACGAAATTGAGAGGAAGAAAATCAAATGTCCGGAGCATTATTCAGCTTGATAGATGTGAAGGATTCACCTAGGGCAGTTGCAAAACCTTGATTCCGAACCAATGGTCCACATAGGTTCAAGGATCCTAATGGAACGAATGAGGTGTCACTGGTTACCATGGGACTGACTGCATCTCCTAAACTCGCTCCACTGCCTTGTGGATCTGAACTCTCGGTTGAAGGCTCGGGGTATGACCCACACACAAATCAAGTGACTTTTGTGGTGCATATGTATTCGGTGCCTCTTTGTTCCAATATTAATGTGTTTAAATAAAAATAAACTACTGTATAAGAAGGCTGCTAGTTCTAGACCGAGCTGACGTTTCTCAATGTTCATTTGAATCATGATATCAAGTAACCATTCACATAATATTTCACGTAGATACCCATTCTCATTCTCTGTCTGAATCACTTCATAGGAACTAATGGAGTTTTGTCAGACATCTCGATGTTTAATGCTTGTCAGTCTAAGAGGTCAGTTAGAGTTCACCGTTTGAAATAAATAGAATATCCTTGACACTTTTTCAATACTCACACACCCTGAAAATGTGATCGTGAATGCAAGTTTTCGTCTAGTGGAAATCAGTAGTATTGGAGAAGAACACTTCACTTCTACCCGAAGTTTGTGCTGCTGATGATGTCGTTCAGAAGTATGGTGAACAATCCACGATCAAACCATCGAACTCAGAGAACAAAACTCCATCAACTTCATCTTGAATTTCGTGTTATTTGCTTACACTAATGATCATTGAAAGCATCGTGATTCAGAACGAACATTTACAGATCAACACAACTCAGCAGGAATTGTGATTGTTCGATTTCCTTGAAGCCAATCTCTTCAACTATTAGACAGACTACGCAATCCCGATTTAACGGTTCACCAAATAGTCAAGTCTCCATGAATTTCCTACAAAATAAAGACAACTTATACCTTTACACCACCTTTATATAGGAATACCAGTACTCACAACTTTGTACGTGATAAATAAAATGTGACTGACAGTTTGATCCAGAATGACCGTTTTCGTCTCATTCTAAACTGATTAGGGGAGTGTAGTTACATCTCGGAGTTATCCACTTAGTTACCGATGCCAGATAACCACTCGCTCGTGCATCAGGTATGAATTTCAGTTTGCTTTGTAATATGATGCAGATACATTCAACTGACAAGTCTCAGATACAACGAAACACACATCTTGGACAACATTGTTAACCACATTCTATCTTTATCATAGAAACCTCTGACACAATGTCCATATAGAAGATGATATACATGTCAACTGAAACCGATTACAATTTGATTGAAGTATCAACCATGGAACTACCATAGCCATTACAAATGGAACACAACCGTTGTTTCTACCTTCACGTGGTGGTCGGACTTGCCTATCGTGATGAACCAACCGAGCTATACTGGCTGGAACAATCGTTCTTCAAGATTCTACCATGCCAGACAGGTCTGCTGAAGAACTGTAAGACCAAGAGCAACAAACTCAAGATCCGAGGGTGAAGTCGTACTGTTGACTGCACAGGGGTGTAACAGCAGTAATGTGTTTCCTTCAGCCCCGAAATGCCCTGATATGGCCGAGAGTGAGGAGAGTCCGTTCTCCCTCTCGAAATGCTCTCACATGGTCACACGTATACAGCCTCTGCTAGGGAAGTCCTACTCACTGCCTTCTCGTTGCGGGGGTGTTGTTTACAAAAATGAGAGGACGAACAGCGAATGTCCGTCAGGCGCTTTAACCGGATTCCAAACTGATGGTGCACATGGGCTCCAGTATCCTGAACGAACAAATGCTGTATGAACCTATCGTTTGACACCGGCTTCCTTGAGACTGCGTCTTCTTACGATGCTTCACTGTCTTGTGGATCAGACCTTCAGGTCGAAGGCTCGGTTAGTGGCCCTCTAAGATAACCACCTGCTTCGGTTTGGGCACCCGGGCAGTATCATAGCCCTCACACATATCGAATGAGATTTGTGTGATGCATATCTATTTGGTGTCTCCTTGTACCAATATCTACGTGTTAAAATAAATAAATAAATAAACCATCATCACAGCGATGCTGCCTTCGCACAAGTAGGGGTGGAGTTAGAAGTGGTCCATCCTCAAAATGCACACCTCACCTTATCCCACGGATATTTATCTCCAGTGGAAAGTTCTCAACAAGTATGGAGCTAACGCGAAAACTACTCACACAAACGTCGTGTGTGGCTGACTTCAAGCAGTTCTTCCTTAGGCATTGCGGTCACGCTCTCAGGTCACTAAGACCACGCCTAATCCAATTTCTCTTTCAGGTACCTCCAGAAGAACGCTTCCACGGTATGGGCAACCGTGAAGTGATAGTCGCCCTCATATCTATAACAGCACTCAAGACCACTGCATTAAGAATGAAACTAATCATTCAGAACGTTATCATCATCCTTCAACTCTATTCACAAATGAATCATCAACAATATCATCTATACTAATGTTTTACTTATAAAATGAAAAATGAAATAAAACAAAACATAAACAGTACAGTACAGTACAGTACAGTACAGCACAGAATAGAATGAGATCTTATAAAAGAAATAAAAACACTAACCAATAGAAATTCAAGATGATAAACAATTAGAACAAGAAAAAAACAAAAAAATATAAAGAAGAATCATTGAAATAATCGATAACAATCTTGTAAAAAAAAGAGAAAAGGGAGAAAATGAGTGAGATAAACGATTACAACTACAACAAAGAAAGTATGGTGATACTTCAAATTAAATAATTGACCATTCGTTGTCATAGAAACAAACATGGGAAGTAAAAAATCGATCAGAGACGGATTTTTTTTTGTGTGGATATTATTAGTAATTCTACTAAGTGAATTGACAAGTCAATTGAAGTTAGACTATCATGAAAAACAGGAAAGTAACAGATGGTTATTTCATCCTGTTGAGGAATACCATACTAGAATGAAATGACTATCTAGTACTTCCAGATGGTCTAGTTTCAATCAAGTCACCAATCCAACTACTAAACAATCTATCATTGAATTCATATGTCTTGACTCATTAATTAGATTACAAGTGATTCATATTGCATTGTGTGTATGTGTAACTATATATAGATTGTATAGAAGATGTGTGCAACCAAAATAACTCACTCTTATCATTCTAGTAAAGCACTACAAACGAGTTTTTTTCGAAAAAACTGCATTATTTAATGATACTACTTAAACTGTTTAATAGTAGTATCATCATGATAATAAAAAAAAGAGAATGGACATGATGATAAAAAGATGATGAATTTCAAATTATTCTTGCTTTTCTTTTCAATGAAAGACTTTAAATCTGACCACAGAATGCTTAATAATAAATGAATGATGTAATTTGAAAAAAAGTGTTTTAGTTCTCCTTTATCAAAAAAGAAGAGAAGAAAATAATCTCCAAACTGAAAAGAGGTTACATAGGCATAGCAACAACAAAAATTATAGGGATTGATTAAGATGATCAATCAATTGATCAATTGATCACTATTGAAAGCCTGAAAGCACTGAATGACCAGTTCTTCGTCATCTGATCAGTCCAGGATGGCTATCCAATGGTTCCAGGTTTTCAATAATGATCTAACATCAATTCATTCATGATCTTAATCAAAAACAAACAAAATGAGGCACTTTCAATCATAATAATAATAATAATGATCAATTAATATTGTTTCAATGGAATGCGAGAACTTGAATAAGATCTTGTTGATATAGGTATTAATGAGCCATGTCTCAATTTACTATTTATAGAAATTAATGGATTAATTTGTTTAGAATGATTCGATTGATATAAATGATCATCTATTACATAATCATCTGGATGTCTTTTATTCTCTCCTGATGTATATACAATTTGTACTGGTTTATTGATTAATTGATGATTGACTTGTTTACATGATGACGATGTCGATGACGTCGATGCTGCTGTTGCTACAGCTGCTGACGCTGATGTAGACGTAGATGTAGATGATAGTTTACGATTAAACATATTAGCTGATTTACTTCTACTTTGATTTTGTTGATTTCTACTCTGATGATGATGATGATGATTATCATGATGTAACGGTGATGATTTCAATTGTTGCATTGTAGATTTCCTTTCTGTTACATGATGATTTTTTATTGATTGTATTCGATGATTATGAGTAGTATAACTATTCCTAGTAAATTTATTATTATTACTTTTACTACTATTCTTATTAGTAGTAGTATCATTGATGATTGGCAAAACTGAAATCCTTTCAACTGGTCTTGAATTCTTTCTATCAATTGATTGTTTACAATTTATATTTAATGAATTTAATGATTTGGATAAATTTTGATTATTACGTAATCTATTCTCTATTGGGTTCTGATGTTGTATAGAATTACAATGTCTACTATTAATATAATAAGTAGTACTACTACTGGTTGTAGGAGTAGTAGTAGTAGTAGTAGCAGTAGGAGTAGTAGTATTCGGGAAACATGGTCTATTTACAATATATGGTTTCATATTAGATTTATCTAATTCATTTCTTATGATAGTAATAGTTGATTTTTGTTTGAGTAGTTTATCAGTAGTATTGAATGGTTTTCTAATCAAACTATTCTGATCTGTTTTAGAATCATTATTACTATCCTTATTATTACTATTACTATTGCTAGTAGTAGTAGTAGTAGTAGTAGTAGTGGTGGTGGTAGCAGTAGTATTAGTAGTAGTATTGCCATTACGTAATGACTGTATCTTATCAAAACTTTCATTTGACCAATCTTTTGTAAGATTATCATTGAAACTAGTTTCTTCAACATCTGTTGATGAATTGGTCGGATCTTTCATATATTGATCAGCGATAATAAATCGTGGAAAATGTGTAGAACAATTCAAGTCGCCATCATCAACATCATCATTATCATTATTCAATGAAGTTAAATTGAGTTCAGAGAAAAACTGTTAGAAAATGGAAAAGAGAGTAAAAATATGTGTTAGTTATTAAATCATTTATGATTTATCATTTAGTGAACCAATGAAAATCAAAGAAGATTAGAATTGATGTTTCGTTGAAATATAAGACTCTTCAAATATTTATACTGATGTAGCGGTGAATGAATCCCCAATATCTGTAATCCTTCGACATTGGATGCCGACCACATTAGTTTTAATAAACTCACATAGTTGAAGACTCTTGGCCATACATCCGCACCAGATCATGAGTGGGAACGTTGTGCTCGACATCCTCTGCAATCTCTAGCCAGTTTAGATCAGTCGATTCACAATATATTGATAGTCTATCAAATATATCTTCGAACCTCCTCGATTCTGACATTTGATTTTACTTGGTGGGTACGGTGCATAGTAGAAGGTATTACTGGTTAAAGCATTGTCAGACTCAAAACACCTATGGCATCGTCACTGTTATATCCTGATGAGAATAGTGGATGGTAACTGATGGGATCTATCTGTGGATTGATAGTATATATATAGTCCTATTGTGTAACTGTTCAGCAACTACATTATGTATATCTATATTCCTCTTATTATACGCTTTATTTTGATCCATAGACTATAATGATATGATTTACGGTTATTGAGTTATAACCAGTCTATTAATTACAGTCTCCCACATTCACAACCACATTTGGCGAGAACTATTTTATGCTAAAATGTGATCTGTTTGGTTTGTATATAAACCCAATATGTTTGAAATATATGATTAGTATCACGGAGGCTGAGATTTGTGTCCTGGACTTAACAGGCATGTCAAAGCAGGAAGGAGAACCGATAAGGATTCTAGACTGATCGTACGGGTTTTCGAGTCATTGGCCCGGCTATATGACATTGTTCTCTACTCTAATTCGTGGTATCATTACATTATATATATATATATATATCGATAGGGCACAAAGCAACAAGTTATAACATACACTCACTATTGATAAAATTCACATCCAAAAGTTAACAGTCTATTAATACAAGGAATTAGAATTATGATTTACACTTGATGGTTAGGTTAGGGTTAAGAACTAGATTTACAGTTTTCATTATGAACTGATATCCGCTAAAATGCCGAAATGCTACTCACCCAAATGGATGAATCAATTTCGTATCAAAATCTAAGACCTCTTATCCTAAATCTGATTGCTTCGTGTATAAACTATAGTCTTGACGAATATTCAATTTATTATTAAGGTTTAATCAACATATACTCACACGTGACTGGTTTCAACAGGTATTATCTGAAGTTCTAGCGAGAAGCCGTAACCAATGGTGTTGAAACGGGTCAGTTGTGAGATATTAACCTACTGAAAACAATATTGGATGTATCTCTCAATTTCGTGGATTGCTGGAAGTTACACATTAACACCGTTGGATACCGGCAGGTTCAGTAGTCTAGCGTTTAAGCGTTCGCGTATGAGAATCGATAAGTCGTGAGTTCAAATCTCCCGATGCGGTATTGCAGATACACACTACTGCTGAGGAGCCCTACAATACAATGAAACGGCTATCCAGATTTCTCATTATAGTCAAACTTCAATTAATTCATGATCTTAACTACTAAAACTTAATCCATATTGGAAATATTTATCGAATACTTTTTATACTACTTACTTGCGATTTAGTAAGACATTTTGATTCTTCTAAAGTTTTTTTTGCAAGAATTTGATTTTCATTCACATTTTTCATTGATTTCATAAATTCTGAATCAGTTTTATGGTTCAACTGTACTTTCCCATTAGAACTATCATTATAATCATCATCATGGTGATCATTATCTCTATGTGATTGTTTCTCCTTAGTTACAGATGATGTACGTGTTTTTACTACATTCAATTTACATTCTACCATGTTCTGAGTTTTATCTTCATTCAATTTGGAATTCTGATTCATTGAATTTAATTTACATGATCCTACTATAATCAAAGAAAGAAAGAAAGAAATTAGAAGAGATACATTTTAGTGATGTGAAGTATTTCTTGGAATAAGATCATTAATTGATGAATGTCAGATCTGAAAGTACTGGATAGTTAGTTGTTTTGTTCCAGTATGCGATATCTTAACAGTGAGAATTGACGAGCTCGTGTATGGGATTCAGACTTAGAACTTTTGGTCATGCATGTGTACGTTCACCTTATAGACTACTGATCCGGTTTTAGTATCTCAGTCAGTCAGTCAGTCAGCGACAACGTAGGCCAGGCACTTATACACATCGGTCCAAGTTCACATATCTCATTAGCACAACAAGATCAACACCAAATTCACGGAAGTAGTTACTTCAATGATAGTAATATATAAAAGAAAGAATTGTGAAGAAATATATAAAGTAATTTTCATCTCATAGTTTAAGGGAAGACAACGAGTGTATACACCGATGCCATTGTGATCGATTCTGAGCCATGTCACACATAGTCTCCAACCATTGGTAACGATAGTCACACGGACCCCAACCAAGTAGTCTGCATCTACCAACATGACACAGATAAGAAGTTAGTGACTTCAATGACTGATACCAAGTTTTGATTTGGCCGCCTCTAACTTTCTCCCAACCAACTCCAACACTAGTCACAATTGCGCGTCCTAGTAATTGGTGGTCGGGCATACGTACCACGTGTTATTGTCTAACATCAAGCAATCCGAAATAGTGGATACACACTCTTCAACAGCCTGATACTAGAACAAAACAACCGTCCGGTGTTTCCACGTCTTCAATTGTGGTCTAACATTCATCGATTCATGATCTCAATCAAAAATTAAAATTGTATTCATGACATTAAATCACCAAGTTAACATTCATCATGTTCATCTAATCACGTATCGTTAACTTCCTGATTCTAATGTGATGTCATATCCTATATATGCAGACTAAGAATCATTTGATATTGATTCAAAGACTGAATGGTGTCATACTTGTCAAGCAACTAAAATTTCTTGAGGTTAATACAGTATATAACTCCGCCTGGAGCCACTCTTGGGTTACAACTGGTTCCATGCCCGGATAAAGGAGGAGAGTTGGGCATGGGGATAGCGACCACATCCCATAGAAAACTTACTTGATGAAATAATACTAATCAGGAAAAATAATTCAAACCATTTAAACTCTGCTTTGGCATCTGGAAGATCTTTAATTAGAAGAGTTATGACGCCTCATGATGAAAGCCGAATTCCTTCGGAAGTCACGAGGCTGATGCCCCTTCTAACAACCAGAGAAACCATTAGTTTAGGTACATGGAATGCTCGTACATTGTAGGAGACCGGGAGGGTCTTCGAAATTGCTGCAGAAATAATACTGTGTATAGTTATAGGCTGACACACTTGGAAATCTTAAACTAGAACGTAAATACATATTCAGTGTTTGTTAGATTTCACTAGTTCTTCAAATAATGTTACTTCATAATGAGAAATGTCTTTACTTGCTATATATATTACTGAGATTTGATTGAAGTAATTAATCTAGACTGTAAGAGTTCAGCTCAACAGACTAAACTTATCATATTGTGGGGACCATTCACGGATAAACTCGAAGATGGTTTCGATGTGTAGCTTCTCTATTGAAGAAATGTTAATCACCCCCTGTGTGCGAATTGGATAACCATAATAATGATTTCAGTTTTACTAAAAACTATAAATACCTGACAGTTTTGTACTATAATTTGACACTGTCTAGAATAACATTCCTTTCATTAGCCTTCTGTCTTCTCATTGCCACTTGGAAGGGTTCTAACGTCCAAGTGTTCAAGTTATACGTGGTACAATAAGAAACGAAGCTCTAGATTGAACACATACTCTGCGAGAAACGTGAAAAGATGGTGATTTAGAGATTGATCCCATTGTAAGGTCTAATGAATCCCTAACTAGAAGTAACTATCTATTTAGTATCCCCGAAGTTTTTAATGATCCTTTGGTTGATAATTTCTCTCTGAATTCATATACTGATTTACCTTCTTAAGAAGCAACTAACTAAAAAGACACAAATGTCCTACTAATTAAGATACAAATAAATCAATCTTTATTGCTTCATATATGCCTGTATATAGTTTTATTAACGATTTTCTGATCTTTTAGTGAATTATACAATACCTGAGAACCTGAACATGGTGGATCTGATACAGATGTGAATGCGAGGATAGGCAAAGCAAGAGCATTATATCTTTAATTGAAGAATATCTGGAACTCAAAACAACTGTCTTTCAATCTACACCAAAGTCACAATTTTCAATACAAATGTCAATATAGTTCTACTGTATAGGGGCTGAAACTTGTAGAACTACGAAAACCGTCATCCACAACATACAAGTGTTCGTTGACAGTTTTCTATACAAAATACTTCGGATTCATTGGCCAGACGCTACACTATCAGCAACAACCTATTGTGGCAGAGAACAAACCAGATCAAAGTAGTGGAGGAAGAAATCAGGGAGAATTGCTGGAAGTGGATAGGGCACACACTGAGGAAAGCACACAACTGCGTCACAGGGCAAGTCCTCATCACTCGTAATCCTCAAGTCCAAAGGAGGAGAGGAAGAAGACCAACGAACACATTACGCCGAGCAATAGAGATAGACATAAGAAGAATGAACAACATTGGATAGAACTAGAAAGAAAGGCCAAGGACAAAGTTGGTTGGAGAATGATGGTCGGCGACCTATGCTCTATTGGCGATAACAGGCCTAAGTAAGTACGTAAGTGGTAACCGAATCTAATGACCGTCGTCAAAAACGTCGAAGTTACCATAGTTCTTCAAGCAACGTTATCATACTTTGTTATCGGTAGGATTGATGACATAAACTCAGGCTAAGAGAACACCCTAATCTCAATTAATAAACATATAATTACTATTATTAACCCTACATCGTTAAAGTATGATCTAATAACATACGAAATGTAAAATGTTTTGATACAATCAAACAAGCAAAGCCTTGCAATACTTCAAAACTGAATAGAAAGCATTCTTACATGGATTAACTTTACGACATTCATCGTATTTTGATAAGAAATGACTCAGTGTATCCCAGCCACCACCGACTCGAACCATCACATGATTTCTCAGTATCTAAATTAAAACAATAAAATAAGTCTAGTTGAAAAGATACAACAAGCCGAAACAAACTTATATCATGCTACGTAACATTTTAGATGTCAGTCATGGCCATGGAGGCAATGATTCTCATTAAGAAATCATGATGAATAAGACACAAATTTACGTAGAAAAGTCGATATAGTGAATTCAGCCAAGCAAATCTTCAGAATCAACAATTTATAGTGTTTAGATAGGTGTCATTTCATCTTTACTCATCAAACAATTTTGACTATTCTCATTTCATAACTTGAACAAACAGATCAAAACATGAAACTTTGTTATAATCATAACAATAGTTATATCCAAACACATTTCAGTCGCAAGGTGCGGGATAGTGGATACTCACTACTGAGGAGTCTCATACAAGGAAGAAAATGGTCATGAATTTAAGTACTAAATTACTAAAATCTTCACAAAATCCCCTCCTGATTGAATGGATACTTTTTGAAGTGAAAAATTTGAACTACTGAATTTCATTTAAACAGTATAAATATTTCCAGATAATTTTTACTGAGCAACTACTTGACATGTACTGAGAAAGAAACATTTATGTATGTATATATATTTAATGACATATAGAATCATATTGATATTGTAATCTATATAATCACCGCTAAAAATCAAAACTTCGCCATAAGAGGTCCATTAGAAGTGAGTAAAAAAGAAGATACGTCATTTCTTTCAACAATTACAAGTACTGTTACTAGTAGTAGTAATAGCAGGAGGAGGAGGAGGAGGAGGAGGAGTATGCTTTGATTTATATGACCTATTAGTAGTTCACAGCATGATTATGACAATTATAATTGATGGTGAATATAAACCAAAATGCTTGATCAGATATACTTAAATCAGATTAGTAATGACATTGTTAACTCATATATAAAATGATTCAATAAGAAATTTAATTGTACTCAAATTCTTGCCAGTATACTTATAAACATATAATCAATTAAGTAATATAGACCATTGAAATGCTTCTCAAAAGTATACTCACTGTATGTGCATTATTTATGTATATTTCATTCATTCATTCATTCATTTAATAATTCGGAATGACATTATTTGTATTGAAGTAACCGAATTGTGATGAACACAATGGAATTTCAATATAATGATTACTACCCCCCACACACACCCACACATACACATTCTTGTAGTGAACAAGAACATCGGTAACGATAATTGAATATATTTAAATACAACATTGTGGAATCGCTTAGTAAAATCTGTGAAGCATAAAGTGAATACTTCATTGTTGTTTTGTTTCTACACTAATCATTCTTTGTTCTTGTTCTCATTTCATCACTGAACTTCTTGACCTTCTGCCGTTAGGCATTTCACTTTCGATTGATGATACATACTACTTATATCTGTCAATATCAGTAGCACATACTACATTCTTAGTGACAAGAAACCATCTATAAATTTTAAACAAAATGCTTAACGGATTTAAATGACTACTGAACCTGCTGGCATTCGACGGTATTGATGTTTAACTTCAATTAATCCACGAAATTGAGCGACACATCCATCATTGTCTTCAGTGAGTTAGTATCACACAGCAGAACCGGTTGAACTCCACTGATCACTGCTTCTCACTAGAACTCCAGGAAATACCTCTTGAAACCAGTCACCATTATGCATATGTTGTTTAGTATCAGAAGGGGTTTTGTGGATATTATAGCAATTTCAATGGTTGAGATCATGAGTCAGTTGAAGCTAGATCACCATGGAAAACCTGGATGTCGGCTCAGTGGTCCAGTGGTTAAGCGTTCGTGCACAAGACTGGAAGGTCCGTGTTTCGCATCTCACGGGTGGCGGGATCGTGGATGCACACTAGTGAGGAGTCCCACAATAGGACGAAACGGCCGTCCATTGCCTCTAGGTTTTCCATGGTGGTCTAACTTCAGCTGAGTCATGATCTCAACCATTGAAACAAAATGTGCCTAACGGATTTTAATGATTCATATCTGTTGTTTTTAGCAATAGTCTAAAGAATCGTAATTATGTTATCGATTGGGTAACAATGGAAATTTCTAAAACATAATTATCATTTTCTTAAATTAACGATTATATTTTCGATAGTAACCAGTAGCAAATTATAAGATGTATGTTACCATCTATTTGAGAATCGTTAAGTGATGTACTGGCTCGTTGTTAAAACATATTTATCATTTAATTAGATACTATTATGAAACCCCTGTCTAATGCTTTCAGGTTTTCAATGGTGATCTAACATTGATCAATTCATGAAGTTAGTGAAATCCAACAATATTTCGCAACTCCATATTGATGATATTTGTTTAGATTGAAAACTAACTTTCACGTTATTAAAATTCTGAAAATATGTCAATCATCTTAGAAACAGATTTTTCCACAAACCACAAATCCCACTAAAAGCCCTATTACGGTCGAGGGTGAAGAGAGTCAGCTCTCTCTCTCTCTCTTCAATTGCTCTCAAATGACCATGTGCATACAACCACTGACAGGGAAGTCTTACTCACTGGCTTGTCATACCACGGGTGATGCTTACGAGATTGAGAGGATGGAAATCAAATGTCCAGCGCTTTAACCGCGATGATGGATACGGAGGATCCACGTAGAGGAGTCGGGAAATCCTGAATTAAAACCAATGTTGTGCATAGCCTCCAAGATTCTGAGGGAACGAATGGCGTATGAACCGATCATTGGTCAACGGTTACCATGGAACTGCATCTCCTAACGTTACTCCACTTCCTTGTGGATTAGACCTTTAGGTTGAAGGCTCTGGGTATGGTCCCCTAAGAAAACAACCTGCTTCGGTCTAGGCACCTGGGCAGTATCATAGCCCGCATACAAATCAAATGACTTGTATGGTGCATATGTTTTCGGTGCCCCTTTGTGACGATATTTATATGTTCACGTAAATAAAAAATAAATACCTAAATCACAATGAATTGAAATATTTCACAATCTTAATTCAATATCATTTGTATTACTCTATGGATTGAATAACATCAGTATTTGTGAAAGATAATCTGACGTAGAACATCTTGGAAACTATTCCAAGCAGAATGAATAATATATCATTTGACTACATATTCTTTCTACGAAGAGAACATTACTAAATTAAAAAATGAAATTGATCAATTCAATATAACTACTTAAATTATTTAAAGTAGTATAAATATGAATACAACATTTATTCAACATTCATCCTCGTATTGTTATAGATCTATTCAGGTGTGTATGAACGATGAAAATGAGGTCAACAGTAGAAGAGAAGGGTTACTGATTACTTCATTTCTGCGAATCTATCTAGTTAACCCTTCAAGTCATTGATTTTATAAGGAAAATTATCAGTTAAGAAAATTTATTCCAAATTAATTATTTTATCAAATCAACTGAGCTAGTGTAACATCGGTAAACATACATTCAATAATTACATTTTAGATTGGGATTATGAATCGATCGATGTTCGACCACCATTGAAAATCTGGAAGCACTGGACAGCCATTTCATCCTAGTATGTGACTCATCAATAGTATACATTCACGATCCTGCACTTTAGATTCGTATGTGAGACTGAAAGTCCTGGGTTCGAATCCCACAACTGGAATCATAGATACGCACTATTGAGGAGTTCCATGCTAGGACAAAACGGTTATCCAGTGCTTCTAGTTATTCAGTTGTGGCTTAACATTAATCAATTCATCATCTCAAACAAAAACTTAACAGTCTCCACAACCCTATACTGATAATTACATTTTAGATTATTGAAAATTATTTAACACTAAAAATTTCTTTAAAGAAATCTAAATCTAGATCATTTCACTTGATTAAATTGCATCTGAAAGAGGCTTTGTGTATATTATAGAAATTTCAGCAGTTCAGATAATGGGTCAATTGAGGCTAGAACACCATGAAAAACCTGGAAGCATTGGACGGCCGTTTTGTCCTATTGTTGAACTTCAGTAGTACGCATCCACGATCCCACCTCCCGAGATACGAACCCAAGACCTATCGGTTCGAATCTCAAAAATGAAAGGTCCTGAGTTGGAATTTCACAAGGTGGGATCGTGGATACGCAACGCTGAGGAGTCCTATTCCGGGACGAAACGGCCGTCCAGTGGTTCTAGGTTTTCCATGATGTTCTAACTTTACCTGACTTATATGATCTCAACTATTTAAATTATATTTAACAATGAATACATAAAACGATCAATCCTTCATAACAAATGATACTATTTACTTGTAATCAAACTAATCAGTTAAACTCATTTGCAATTCAAATGAATTCTAATTAATATGAAATAATTGTGATCTATTGTTTGTTTGTCTGTTTTCATAGTGCTATTATTATTATTATTATCATCATCAATATTGTCTATTATAATGAATTATTTTGAAGAAACAAGCATACAAGTTACAACTGATTCATTCACTAAATAGTATGATTACATGTTTGTAGATATTTATTGTTTTTTAGTGTGATCAGTCAGTTAGTTACAACGTAGGACCAGGCACATATGTGCATCGGTCCAAGTTGTCATACCTCATTAGCACAACAAGATGAACAAAAAAAAATCATAGAAGTAGTTCGTAAAAAGAAATATATGAAGCGATTTTAATCTCATAGTTTGAAGGAACACAGAGAGTGTATACACCTAAACCATTGTGATTGATTCTGATTCATGTCACACAGAGTATCCAACTATTGGTTACGATAGTCACGCGGACCCCAATCAAGTAGTTTGCATCTACCAACATCGCTCAGACTAGAAGTTAGTGACTTTATGGACTGATGCCACATTTTAGTTTGGCCACCCCTTTTAGCGTAATTCTCCTTGTTTGTGAAATAAAATCACATTAAGCAGAGATAGATGGTGTCTAGCAGTGGGATCTAGGACGTTCATTTCGTTCTACTTGAGAAACGTCAGCTGGATATAGCTACATTTCATGGTTGATATTCTAATCTAGTACCGTTCGCTTCAAGCGTCATCACTTTATGCACTTAGCTACCAAGTTCATATAGCCACCGATTTATGCAATGGGGTGTAGTATAATTCGTTTGTATTGGATTGTTTGCAATGGATTCTAATGCTAGCCATCACTTATCTCTGGTTATAATACTTGTGACTTAATGGCAATATCAATCAAAGGAATCTGAACAGAGTGAACATATGCTAAAAGAAATTGATCAATTGGAAGCTAATTCAAACAACCAGTTTATTCATGTTAGTGTTATTTTAGCAAGATTATTTTCTACGGGATGTGGTTGTCAATTCCTTGCTCAACTCTTTTTCTTTACATGGACTTGGGACTAGCAATAACCCTAGAAGAGCTACAGGTGGACAACCAGTACAAATAGTTATTTTCTTTTTATTCGTAATCGATTTTTATTGATTTTGGAAACATCTGAACAGTTTCTATAACTGAATATAAAGTAAATCAGTCAGTCAACAACGTAGAACTTCGTATGTACGTACATCAGTTCGAGTTGCCACACCACATTAGCACAGAGATGCAGTTGTCGATTCAAATCCCATAGTAGTAGAGGTAATAAGAGTATAAGCATTAATCGGGAAAATTAGTGTTTGGAGATGTTATTTAAAGAGTACAATACAGTGAAATAAATCTGGGAAGAGAAAAAAAAGAGACAAGGAGGAATAAGGAGATCAAAATTTGGGAGAACACAAACAGTGTATGCACCTGCGCACACCATTACAAACGATTTTGAACCATGTCATTCAGGGTCTCTAACCATCGGTTGCTATCATCTCGCGGTCCCCAACCAGGTAGTCTACACCTACCAACATGGCTAAGTCCACTTGTCAGTGACTTCATGGATTTGTGCCATGATTTGGTCTGGCCACCCCTAGCTTTCTTCCATCCTACTCCTATACCATTAAACATCGCTCGTCGAGGCAGTCGGTCGTTGGGCATACGTAACACATGTCTCAGACATCTCAACTGATGAAGTTTCATCACTTCATCAATTGATTTGCCATCCTTACCTAGTACCCGTTTCCTAACAACTGCATTACTTACTCGGTGGTCCCATGATAAACGAACAATGCTTCGAAGACACTTATGATCGAATACTAGTAACCTACATATAACCTCTACTCTTACTGGTCATGTTTCACTGCCATAAAGTAGGATGGCATGAACTGCTGAGCAGTAAACCTGTCCTTTGGTTGATAGACGGATATCTTGCTTTCTTTTTAACTTATAAAGTAAATACTAGAAAGTTAAAACAAAAGAGAATAGTACAAATAAGATGACTAAATATTACTTACTCGAACAAATATTTGTGTACCTTTATCACCAAATAAATAACGTCCTTCACCAATACGAACCATAGGGAATGTTTGTTTACAAGTACATTGTGATAACAGTTCACGTACCTAATATAAATAAGAATTAAAAAAGGGAAATCATTGATGATTGTTTAAGAATAGTTTCAATTAGACATTATTTCAATTGAATGAATAATAGATACAATCAATATCAAAGTCAGAATTTGTAATGTGAACGTCAAGACAGTTCTACTGTATGGAGCTGAAACTTGGAGAACTACTACAACCATCATCAAATAGGTACAAGTATTTATAAATACTTGTCTACGTAAGATACTTAATATTCGTTGGCTGGATACGATCAGCAACAGCCTTCTGTGAGAGAGGACAAACCAGCTTCCATGTGAAGAGATGACCAGTAAATGACATTGTAAGTGGATGCGACATACATTATGGAAATCATCAAACTGCATCATGAGGCAAACCCTAACTTGGAATACTGAAAGGAAGTGGAAAAGAGGAAGGCTTAATAGCACACTATGTTGGGAGTTGGAATTGGAAATATAAAAAGAATCAATAGCATCTGGAAAGGATTACCCAGAACAGGGTTAGATGTAGAATACTGATGAGAGTCCTATGCTACTCCGCGAAGAGTGACAGGCATAAGTAAGTAAATTTAGTAAACTCAGTAGAAGTGATGTTAACACTCCGACTCTTTTACTTGGAACATAAAGACGTTATCCACTGAGTTAAGGAGTCAAAATTACTAATAACTTATTCAACGGCTAAGAAATTATGTAATTCTACTTAAACTTGTAATCAATGGCAAATATCATGAAAATCTACTCAGAATACACATATCCCGATAGGGACCAATCGTGTGCAGTGATTGACTACAAAAAATTATCAATCAAAACAGTCTTTAATATATTTTTTAAAACTGACTAATCATTCGGTGGCAAGCAATGTCATATATGTATATATAGCGCTGATCTGATTCTATCGATCAAGTTGCAGTGTAGGCACTAATCTTGGTCTGAATCTAGGTCCAGGATTTACTATCATCTGCCTCCACCAACCACCTTACATCTCAACATAGCACACCTAATGTTAAGTCACCTAGAGTAGTGAGGTCATATTGCAACTTTATCAATAGAATTCGATCAGTACTAATAAGAGGTTTGATAAACATCACATCGATTACTATTCAGTGATTATTCAGTTGTAAAACACACCTCACTCCTACAGAAAGTCAACTATGACCTGGATAACTCAATGGTAACATCTTTAACTGTCAAGTAGGATGAAACAGGAAAGCATCCATTCTTTTTAGATTACAGGTACACTTAACCGACAAGTCTTAAATAGCTCGAAATTTACATTGAGCAGGGTATCCTGTTAACTGCCTTCAACCATTATCTTATAGTTTGAAATGTATACAACAAACTATCAAGAAATTTCTCATGTGTATAACATTCAATACATGATTCAATCAATGTACTTGTAAGTTTCTGATTGACGACTGTTAATATGAATAATAATAATCACACTTGAATTGATATACCCTAATTTTCTGTGAATTTTCTGTACTATCTATCGAAATACCAAGTTTAATTGACAGAAGTACAATGTAATGAACCTGAAATAGTTGCTATCATTCAATCATTCTCTATAATACACACACACACATCCATACATCCATACATACATACATAGATACACAATCGTTTTCTCTTTCAGCAAGTAGGTACATGATTGTTAATAGTTATGATTAACTATATAGTACTATATTAGATGGTTGTTTTATAAATGAGTTAATTCATTAATTTCTTGTATAACATCACTTCATTAAACTGTCAATTGCTTATTCTTCTGTTTCTTTTTATTTGTTTGTTTTTGTTTTCTTCATGTTCTCAAGGTGAACAAAACAAAACAAAATGAACTCAATTTGTCAATCTTAAGAATAATATAATAAAACTATCAATACTACTTATACTACTACTATTACTAATACTACTACTAGTAGTAATAATAATAACTAGCCTCTTTAACCAATACTATCTTATAATGAATAGAGTAAGAGTGAAAAGTTAGTAAAGTTGTATGAATTAATGAAATTTGAACTGAGGACTTATCGGTCTCGTGAGAAGCAATGACCAATAGAGTTCAACCACGTCAGTTGTGAGATAGTAACTCACTAAAGAAAATGGTGGACGGCGGCTCAATTTCGTGGATTAGTTGAAGTTGGACATTAACACTATTGGATTCCGGCAAGTTCAGTGGTTTAAACGTTAAACGTTCGCGCTTGAGACCAATAAGTCACGGGTTGGAATCTCGCGGGGCGGAGTCGTGGATGCGCACTGCTGAGGAGTCCCACAATAGGACGAAGTGGCCATCCAATGCTTCCAGGTTTTCAATGGTGGTCTAACATCAATCGGTTCATGATCTCAACAAAAAAATAATGCAAACTAGTCTATTTAACCATTATTATCTAGTAATGAATGTAGTAAGAGTGAAAAGTTAGTTAAGTTGTACGAATCAGTGGAAAATCTTTGATAAATGAGATCTACTTGATTTTTAATACTTGAGATCATGAGTTAATTGAAGATAAACAACCATGGGAAACCCGAAATTACTGGACGGCCGTTTCATTCTATTGAGGAACTCTTCAACAGTGAGCCACGACCTTGCCTCGCAAGATTCGGACCCAGGACCTAACGGTCTCGTGAGAACCAGTGACCAGTAGAGTTCAACCGGGTCTGTTGTGAGATAGTAACTCACTGAAGATAATTGTGGACGTATTGACGGTCCCATGTGCGGACACTTAACTTCTAGACCACTGAACCTGCTGGCATCCAACAGTGTTAGTGTCTGACTCCAATCAATCCATGATCTTGTGCAACCCTTCATCAACTGACTGAGGTAGATACCTATCTCTACCCGATACGGATTGGGTTCCACTGTTCAAAGCTCAGCGATCTAGAGATTAAGCGTTCGCACACGAAACCAAAGGTACTGGGTTCGAGTCCCTCTGGTGTGGAATCACGAGTGTACACCGCTGAGGAGTCCCATACTAGGACAAAATGGTCATCCAGTACTTCCGGGTTTTCATAGGTGGTCTAACATTGATTTATTCATGATATCAATTAAAACTCAATGATCTCCACAACCCTATACTGATAAAAATCGAATTATTGAATATCGGCCCATTGGTTCGTAAACTGTCATATTCATCGTAATATTAATTAATGATGAAAATCACTTACATCGTTACTTTTTGTGTCATGTTACCTTACTATGCAAAAATGAACTAAAATCTTGATAAATAATCAATAATATCATTTAGTTACCATGGGAAATATTTATTTTAAAAAAAAAGTGTGTCAACAACTAATTATGATTGTTTTTCCTTTCTACGGTATCACTAAGTTATTTTTCTTTAAGTTAAACACACACACACACACAAACAAATACGAACACATACACATGTAGATTCTTCGAACTTAAATTGCTTTTTCCATTGTTTACTCTTTTACATATATTTCTCTAATAGCAAACAATTAGGTCGTTAATATGAAAAGACAGAATCAAAAAGGGTACGTATTAAGAAATACTGTAGTTCTAAGTCTAACGAAGGATCAAGGATGAATGTGACCGATCCTACGGCATGAAACTCCTAGTCTACAGTCACTAATAGTAGTTATTATGTTGATCTCAATAACATAGTCCGAGTCTATCGAAATAGCTCAGACCAGGAGTCTGAAACGATCTCATACCTCAGTATGAACACATCTAACTTTGTTCAAACTTACATCAGCCAGCGTTGTCAGTTTAAGCAGGTGATGTTTAAGTAAACTTGAATATATCTCAATCAGCACAGCCAATAAATATCCATGACAAGCATGGTCTAGCAATATCGTGGATCGACTTAAATTACACATCAACACCATTGGTCTGTTTATTTATTATTTATTTGAACACATAAATATTGGTGCAAAGGGGCACCGAATACATATGCGCCACACAAGTCACTTGATTCATGTGTGGGCCGTGATACTGCCCCGGCGCTCGAACTAAGTAGGTGGTTTTCTTAGGGGGCCACACCCAGAGCCTTCGACCTAAAGGTCTGATCCGAAAGCAACATTTGGAGATGCAGTTCCATGGTAGCCGGTGACCAACAGTTGGTTCATGCACCATTTATTGGTTTAGGATCCTGGAGCCCATGTGCACCATTAGCATGGAATGAAGGTTTTCCAACTCCCCTACGTGCATTGTCCTTATCCATTAACTCGGTTAAAGCACCGAACATTCGCTTTTCGTCCTCTCAACTTCGTAAACAACTGTAGTGCCGCGAGTAAGCATTGAGTTGGACTTCCCTGTCAGTGGTTATGTGCATGTGGCTATATGAGAGCATTTGGAGAGGGAGAATTATTTCTACCCGCCCTCAACCATACCAAGGTATTTGGAGCATATGATATCAAATAGATCACTTTTTGAAGGTACTTTATATTCATCAACACTGTGCTAGTTGGGGCGGTCTGTGAGGGGGGCTGACGTCGATTGGAGTGTTCTGATGGGGCGACGTTGGCTGTATCAGGTGCTGTCAGCAAAGAGGAGCAGTGAGACGTGCGTCTGCTGGGCAGACACTGGGTGTAGATAACTCAGTAGGTCGCTGGACCGTAAGCATAGAACGTCATGGGTGCGGGTGGACATCGGATTTTGATGACCTGACGGGTCAACGGAGCTATGGAGGTCAGTGCACCTCAGACTCGACATTTTGACGGAGAGCGTGTCACGGGTTGCAGAGAAGAAGAAATTGGCACGGTGAGCAGAACCACTACAAGAACGACTGCTTTAAACGGGGGAAGAGTGTGATGTGTGTTGCTGATACCGACAGATAAAAGTAATATGTATCATCAATTGAAAATGAAATGCCTGAAAGCAGAAGGTTAAGTGGATCGAAAAGAACAGAACGAGAACAAAAAATAATTGGTGTGGAAACGAAGGAACAATGAAGTTTGAAACGATTGATTGATATTTTGTAAATGAAGTATTTACTGTATGATTCTCAGATTTGACTAAGTTGTTCTGTAATTTTGTATTTACAT